ATTGCACAGTAGTTATTGCACAAATAATTGCAGTTTTAGTTTTGCATTGTAGAGTCTGATGGCAGCAGGGATGAATCACCTGCGGTAGTGCTCCTTTTTACAAAGAGGGTGTGAAAGTCTTTCACTAAAGGAGCTTCTCGGGGTCCTCTACAGTCTATTGCAGGGGGTTAAAAGGTGTTGTCCATGATGGATGTATCCTTGGACAGCAACCTTCTCTCAGCCACTTCCTCCACTGAGTCCAGAGAACAGCCTAGAACAGAAGGGACCTTTCTCACCAGTTTGTTCAGACTCTTTTCTCTGTCTTATGCTTGGCTGTCTCTGTGCAGTTAATGACACAGGCCATGAATAAAATTAGTTTTTCTACTGTTGGAGTGAAATTATCTTCTCTTTCTTCTTAATTTTCTAAAATTCTAAGCTTTCATTTTTCCAGTCATTTGTCCTTGAACTCTCTCCACTGCTTCTGCATAGCTTATATTTTTTTGTTTTTTTCAACATCTCCATCTCCACTGCTTTCTTTCACACCTCACATCCTCCAAAGTTGACTCTGTGCTGTCCTCCACAGTTAAAACACCTTTGTTCAGCTTCCTCCCTGCACTCCTCAATTCTGTATTCTTGTCCGCATTTTGAACATCTTTTCTTTCGACTACAAACTGCTGCCACATAACCAGAGCGCAAGTTGTTCTTCCTTATTCTTGATGATTAGACTACTGACATATAGGATCAGGTCAGTGGAGGTTAATTAAATGGAACCAGTCTGACAATATGCCAGAAGCTAACTATTTAAGTTTGTGCATACATCTAACAAGATTAGGGGAAATATTAGGAAAAACAAAATCATTGATCCACTCTGGAAATGATCAAATCAGAAGAAATTTTGGAGCGGTGACAATTTCCAGGAGCTAAAAAAATACCTGACTCCTCTATAATAAAAAAAAAAGATCAATTGAAGACATAGTACTACTGCTACTACTACTACTACTACTACTACTACTACAAACAAGCAAACATCTTTATGAACATTCGCAGTGGTGTCAAAAGTACACACATTTGTTACTTAAGTAGAAGTATAGATACTGCAGTTTAAAAACACTTGCTTCTGATGATTTCCATTGGCTAACCAATGAGTGTTTGCGTTATATGACTCATCCAATTACACAATTTTTCACTAGATGTGGACGGCACCAATGATCTGCATTGGATGGCGCACATGACGTGAAATAAATATTTATAAACAGTAAACCGAAGCCAAGAGTAACGTTTGTGGTGTGGTGTGGAGGCTGCAGCGCCTCAGACTGGAAGAAAGTGAGTAGAGTGGTGAGAACAGCAGAGAAGATCATCAGGGCTCCTCTTCCCTCCATAAAAGACATTTCCTCCCAACACTGCGTGTCCCGAGCCCGTAACATCATAAATGACCCCTCACACCCCCACCATGGACTGTTCTCCCTGCTGCCCTCTGGGAAGAGACTTCGAAGCATTGGATGAAAGTCCAGCAGATTCCACAACAGTTTCTTTCCCACTGCCATTAGACTGCTGAATGTTTTGTAGAAATGGGTTATTGTATTGTATTTTATTATTATATTTTATCATTATTTATTTGTATATAAAAAAAAATCACCAAAATTTTGTTAGAATTGTAAAATTATAGTCATTTTTTCTATTTTTCAAGGTTGCACTTTTAAAAGCTGAAATTGTCCAGTGAGCTGTTTCCTAAAGAAATTTATTTTTGTTTTACACTTGTGTAAACAAAATGACAAATTAAATCTTTCTAAGTCTAACTCTAGATACTTGTGTGAAAATGTAATGAGTACTTAAGTACAGTAACAAAGTATTTGTACGTCGTTACTTGACACCTCTGAACATTTGGGAAATGTTCTGATCAAGACGGAAAAAGGAACTTATTCAAAAGCGAGCATCATAAAGCATTTCAGAACATATTATAATGATCATTATATTGAAAGTCAAGCATAATTATTATGGCGTAATTGTATGGATTGTAACTGTTCTTTGACTGCTGCTTAGTTGATTTGACATAATTGAAGGAACCGATAATTACGTTATATGTCTGAAGCCCTCAATTAAAAAAGTTAGACCAGGTCAATTTGGAAACCCCAATGAATGTAGTCATCATTGGATGAAAACATCTAAGTCAAGCCGTCATATTTTAGAGATAAAACAATATATTTGCCATTCAAGTTTATAATTTAAGTACCTTATTAGTTGGACACAAGGAGCTGTGAGCTAATATTTAAGTTATTTTCATGAGTTTTTTTTTTAAAGATTCACTGTTTATGTTAAAAGTCAGACAGCCACAGGTGTTGGATAAATCAAACAATTATATTTTTCTTTGTGTTTTTACACTGGATTCATCTGTCAAGTCTACAAATAAATGGGACACATTTTATAAAGAGTAAGGGCAAAAACGAAAATGTATTTTGATGTAAAGTAGGAGAAAACGGAACTATTTGACAGGGCGCTGTTGTCACAGCCTAACTATTCCGACCAGGGGGTGGTGTAACATCCTAACTCTTCCGACCAGGCGTTGGTTTGACGGAACACCGTCATTACTGTGTGATTGAATGACCCGTTGACAGTTGTAGTATACCACGAACTAACAGTGCATTTAAATGTTTAGGGTTTAACACAAAGAACGCTTCATAAACGAAGTGACTTTAGTCAAAAGCTATTCGCTGTTGAGGTTAGCATCCCCGACCAAGCTAGCCACTAGTAGGTAAGGTTAGCCCGGTTAGCTAATGTTAGCTGACCATTCTGTCAGTGGAGCTGTGAGGACAGCAATATTTCACTGATAACTTAAAGCCAATTTATTTGCGAGTCATTGGCGACGTCATATGGTCCCACTCCGCGACCTGTCTCTGTCAAAATGTCCACGACTTCGTTGGATAAAGAATTACAGGAGCGGCTAAGAGAAGCATCTGCTATTGGGGATATCGACGAAGTGCGATCGCTTGTTGAGAGCGGCGTAAATGTCAATTCACAGAACGAGATCAACGGTTGGTAAGTGTTTCTGAAAAAACAAACAAACATCTGTTTGCGTCTGAATATTGGTGTCAGTTTAAAGGTTCGTGGGAGTCAATGAGCCAAGTATGTTGGTACAGGGATAAAAACGGTCAGCCTTATCCTATTTGGCGACACTAATCCTGTTAACCGGTCAGCCTTGCCCTTTTATCTGCTTTATCCAAATGCCTTTTTGTGACTTTGCATGTCGATGGTCAAACAGGTTTGTTGTTGCTTTCATGAACATACATGACATCATATTCAGTTGACAGTATTTACTGTGAAACTAATTTAAATTCAATAAGCAAAATCCAGGGGTTTAGAAAGGTTCTAAATAGGTGTAGATCAAATATTATTATTCAAAATATTTATTTTAGTTTTCAAATCTATAATTTTACCTTTTAAATATCTCTTAGTGCAATGATCATAGCTTACAGCTAATGTAAACATAAGATTTAGTTATTTAGTAAATTTGGCTTCTTTAAAGTTACAGTAACTGCAGAGATTTCTGGACTCACACTTTTGGCTTCTGTTTGCTTTGGCTACACTCTATAATTTCGCTATGTGGTTTCAGCCAGACCACTTTCCAGTCAGGTAGAGTAATAATAACCAGGGGCTTAAAAGCAGCTTTTGGTTCTTTTGCTGTGTGGGCAGGTGTTAGCTCCTTTCCAAAACTAAACTCATGATTTCCATAAAGCTTAACAGCAGAGAGAAGCAGGATGTATTCTAAAACTGCCTGGTAGACGGCTGCACTGACTTTTTGACTTGATAAAATGTCGTTGACCAACACCAGCAGGTGATACGACTCTCAAAAACATCTATAACTTTGGAAACTTCACATTGAACCCAGAGGATTGTGCTTTCCCTTTCTTCTTCCAAACTCTAGGACCTCTTTCTAAACGATAAAAGGAAAATTTCACAACAGTCCAGTCCTTTTTTTCCCTCTCTAGAACATAGGAAGAAATTCCTGATGTTTGTTGTGTACTGGTGGGATGTAGCAGTTAAAGCCAATGTCCTGGATATAATTTATGTCCAGTGGCACTTGACACACTGACTCAAGCTGCAGTTCATGCATTGTAAATCCCCCCCCCCCCATAC